CGCTCGAAGGCCACGCTTCCCAATGAAGCACCCTAAAAAGGGAATCTCTTCTGCGCCAGGATGCACTTGTCTGCATTAACGTACAGTTTGTTAGTGCGCATGCACTTGAGCACCGCTCTTAGATGGACGATGTGGTTCTCCTCATCAATCCTCTCGTGCTCCGCACGACTGTGAACGAAAATGTCGTCAAAGTATGTCTGTGTATACGCCCTGTGGGGGCTAAACAACTGCGTCACAAGACAGTTAAATGTTGCTGGTGCATTTGACAGCCCTTGAGGCACCACCAGCCACTTTCAGAGCATGCCGCTCGGAGTGCTTTCCACTGTCAGCGAAATGTCACTCGCTCTCATGAGCAATTGGTAATACCCATCAACCAATTCGAGTGCACTGTACTTCGTACATCCCACAATGTTGTTCTGAAGAACATCATTTCTAGGAATCGGCGTCTGTGCCGGAATGGTGGCAGCGTACGCGTAAGCAAGAATGAACGCACTCAAACGTTCTTTCACGTTGTCAAGAGGTAAGATTACGTTTGTTAGCGCTTTCAGGCATTCGACAGCGTTCCTGATCACATCAGAAGTTGAGCTTATTGTAAGCATGAACGATACACCACTTGTCGTTCGGCTTCCAAACACAAAACGTGGGCGTCGAATGGGGAGACTTGCTCTCACGTACCATCCCAGCGTCGTGCTTCGCACGGAAAATGGCGTCAATGACGTCACACTGCTCCTTGGGCAGGGGCCGTTGGCGTGTTACGCAGTATATAGTTCCCGAAACCAGGTCGATCTCATGACGCACACCTCGGTCCGGAGGTAGGACTGAAGGCGGGTCTTTATAGACGACGTCTTGAAATTCCTTTACCAAAGGATAGTGCGGATCCAAGAGGTTCCGTAGGATTGACGATCCACTTCGTGCGTTCGGCACTCTCTTGGTGTCTTCCAAGACATCTTCATCCATAAGCGATGACGAGTTTATTTCCTCATTCGGTCGTACAATTACCCCTTTGACCAAATCGCCTGCTTTCAAGGCACTGCTGAATTCGTCAACGGACATCTCGTCCAACTCAAGAAGAGCATCTACTGCAGGCATAGCCTCGAGGCGGACGTCGCCACCTTCCTCCCCCGTCATACCGTTGACGAGGGTGTATAACTGTGCTCCGTCGTCTACGGTAGACACACCCTGGATCAGGGTCAACGCCCGGCGTCTTAAAGCCAGCATACGGCGTCGTCGTCGCCTCTGCACAGAGGTTCTATGTCTCCGTGAGACTAGGGTGAACACGCACTCCGCGTCGTCCGGTGTCACCCTCACTTTCCGCTTCTTTGGTACCCCGATGTTATCTACAACATCCGACGAAGAACTGCTAACACCGCAGTCTTCGTCCAGTGGATAACGTGCCACTCCACGCACATCTGAAGGGCCGTACCCAAGATGTCTCGGACTCTGTCCGACCACGCCATCAATGGCATACAGCGACTGCTTCGCAACGCGAGCAGTACTCAGTGGTTTCCGTGCCTTTCAACGCGCATAACGAGGGCCTCGCCCTCAATGCCTCGGCCCTTGGCCGGCCATGTCACGCGGACATGCAGCGACTGCTCCGAAACTTGAGCATCGCTCAGTGGTTTACATGCCACTCCACGATCAGCCTGCGAGCCACGCTCGGGACTCCTGTCCAATGCACCGTTGGTGTCTACCATCTCGGACATTCCAATGTCTAGCACGCTGACCGTCTCGGTCCAGCGCTCTCACCAATAGCGCTTTGTCTCCTGGCAGAGGTGGGTTCATGACCCGCGACAGATCCACCAGGAGACGTGCGCGTCGCGCCCAAGGTCTTTGACCTCCGATCAATTCATGGCTCATGGTGTTCCAACCATCCCATTCCTAGATGGAGGTCATACCTTGCATCCAAGTCTGAGACTAGACAGCGTTCCACGCTATCAAAGTCAAGGAACTTGACTCTGAGATCCACAGGGACCTTCGGGACCGTGAAACGCGTCCCCGTCACTTGCCGAACGGGGACGATGTCACCCAACCGCGCTTTCTGCGGCTCAGCATACAGCTTACTTCCCTCCATCGTGAAGCGTTAGGCATAATTGCCCGACGCCCCAGAATCGATAAGGATCTTCCATGGTCTCTCATAGCCCTTTACGGTCGCCTCCACGACCAGCAACCCCGGCTTGCATACACGTTCCGTGTTTAAGAGCACAGGACTCTTCGGGGCTGGGCCCTGTTGACCTATGCCTCCCTGAGGTTTACCAGAGCTCAGTTGTTCCTTAGAAGGTCTCCCCGCGCCTACTGAGTAGTGTCGTTTCCCAGCAACGAACCAGATTGGTAGGCGTTGGGGCGATGATTCGAAGATCCTTGACGCGCCTTGCGCAGGGGGAAACCGTTCCGAAGAAGACGGG